AAGGCTATAAATTTTTCTCTAAGGCTTTGGTAAAATCCCACAGAATTTGATGTAGTGTTCTCTCTATTAATATCTTTAATCTAAGGGCTATTTTAAAAAGTTTGAAATGGCCAGGTGGTTAGTTTTTTGGGGGGGAGAAAGGGGTGAGAAGCTTTTTGTTGTTAATTTTAGGTTTATTGCATTGTACTAACAGGATGTAGCCTGTTATAATTCCTACTTTTAAGAATTTATATTTTTTGGGCCGGCCCAGTGGCTCACTCGGGAGAGTGTGGTGCTGATAACACCAAGGCCCCGGGTTCGGATCCCATATAGGGATGGCCGGTTCGCTCACTGGCTGAGCGTGGTGCTGACAACACCAAGTCAAGGGTTAAGATCCCCTTACTGGTCATCTTTTTTTAAAAAAAAAAAAAAACAAGAAGTGGGATACAAACTATATGTACATATAAACAGGCTATTATCATAAATTATCAGCAAAATGAAATCTAACAAACTTATTTCCTAGGAAGTGCTTTTAATACTGGCAATTCACATACAAAATTCATATCTTTTTTTAAAAAAATCAATTTAAGGCAAATAATGGGAGGAAATAGCTAAAAATAATCCCACACTGATGATTCAATATGCAAGGACACCAACCGTAAAAGGGACTACCATATTACACATGCATTAAATGACAGGCATTAATTCTTACATGCATTATCTCACTTAGTACCTCCAACACCACTCAGGATGTTATTTTCCCATTTTAAAGTTGAGGAAAATGAGATTTACACAGTCGAAGAAACTGGCCAAAAATCAGCCAACTAGCAAATGCTCAAATCTGAAGCTCATGCTCATTGTACTAGATTGAAATTCTGTCCAAAAAGTTGACAGATCATAGCATTCAAGAGAAAGAAAGTCATCAATGATACCTCAATTCTTACAAAATCTGGTGGCCAGAGTAGTTCATGAGGTGAACTCAAATTATAGAAACATCAAGCTACTACGAAGTTTTATGAGTTCATAAGATAGACCCTCAAAGATGCAGAACACCTCCAACATGTGTGCATTGGGAACAAATAACTCCAATTGTGTTAAAAAAAAAAAAAAAAGGAAATAACTAAATATCAAAACAGTTAAATTATGGTCCATAAAATTATATTTATAAAGAGTCTTTAATATTTGTGAGAATATCTATCAATAAAAGCAAACTCTTATAGTAGACATGTTTGGGGGACTGCTGCCTAACCCATGCTTTGGAACTGACCCCTCCTCCTCTTGCAGGGGTGAGCTCAAGTGGTCACTACTGCCACTAAAACCCTGTCTCCTGACCACAACTACCTGAACAAAAGGCGGCGCCTAACCCATGCTGAGCCAATCAGATACCACAGTACTTGCATTAAACTTCAACCTGGTTTCAAAAAAGTACAATTTGGCTAAAATCAGTACCTTGGTAACCCAAAGTAGAAGTTATGGGGGAGCAGAAATTGAGACCCTTGCAGAGGAAACTGGCCTCAGCATGGAGAATGGAACAAACACGCAAAGAGAAGCAGAGACAAAAGACTACACAGCTCCAAAGACAAAGGCGAAAGCCAAGGGCTTTCCAAACCCCATCCCTGCTTCCTGCAACTAGACTCCAAGAGACTGCCTGGAATCCTTACAATCAATCTTCCTTTACTTAAATTTATTTGAGGTTTCTGTTCCTAACAATCAAATTAATCCTTGAGGGTCAGCCCATGGCTCACTTGGGAGAGTGTGGTGCTAATAACACCAAGGCCAAGGGTTTGGATCCCTATATAGAGATGGCCGGTTAGCTCACTTGGGAGAGTGTGGTGCTGACATCACCAAGTCAAGGGTTAAGATCCCCTTACCAGTCATCTTTAGAAAAAAAAAAAAATTAATCCTTGATAGATATAAAATTATATAAAGAAAAAAAGTATTAACAAAATTGCCAAACATTAAAGCAGTTGCCTCTTAGTAGTACAATTAGGAGTGGTATTTTCTAATGTTTATAATTTTCTTTTCTTGACAAGTTTTCAACAATGAGCCTGTTATTACTCAAAAAAAAATCCGAAATGAATAAATGAGGCTATTCTGGCTTCAGATAATTAAAGCTTTACTATACTTGTAAAATCGGGTAATTCAGAACTATTACTGACATAGACTATATAAAATCCAGGGGATTTCAAACCTTGTTTCAGAAGACACTTGGATTCTTTGGTGATGTTTCCAGGGCCACCTTAAGTTGAACACACCCCCTGCAGTCAACACTTTTTTCAAACTCTTTCCAACTCAAAACCTCTTTAACGTCCACTTCACTTAGGACAAGGACTTCAACAGATATTTTATACAAGGTGAACCACACCCCCATCCACCCATGTCTTCAACCAATAGTATCAGAGCGGAAACCTGCCCGAAATCAGGCCTGAGTACCTCTCTCTGGTATCTGGAAGGAGAGAGATTCACACTCTTCACTGAAGGAGCTAAAAAGGGCAACCTCCCTACCATAAAGAACAGAAAAGCATAAATCAGTTTGCAGGGAGCATAAAGCATGAACAAGACCCACCAAAAAAGAGCAAAAACTGGGCTGGCTGGTTTGCTTAGTTGGTTAGAGCATGGTGTCACAACACCAAGGTCAAGGGTTTGACCAGCCAGCTGCCTAATCCTCACAACAATGCCATGATATAGGTACTGTCATCCTGTTATAAAGAGGATTGTGAGGCTCAGACAAGCTAAGTAATTTGCCCAAAGTCACAAGGATTCAAACCTAGAAAGCCCAACTCTAAAATCTGGGTGTTTGATCACTACTCTATACTGTCTCTGTAGTAGGGATTTAAATTCAAATAAGTGGCATTGTTCATGCCATTTGTTAGAAATCTACAAATACATACTTTCTGTCATAGCAGAACAGCCTCTCAAGTCTCTCCCAAGCCTAAGATTCAATGACTGACTTTCTGATAACACAGATGGGTTCCAGGATGTTACTGTCCAAACTTAGTTTACACTACTTTTTAATCTTCCTTTTGAGCCCTCTTGGTTATGCATTCATTATAGGATGCAGGAATGGGGCTACTATGGGTCACTTCAATATAATTCTACACTCACCTTCTTGTCCCATTCCAGCCACCCCTCCTGTCCATTTTCAACACAGATATGGCTGCAATACAAAAGTAAAATATATTTTTCAAATACAAAAGACCTTTCAATTAACGACAGACCACATGTATGACACTAATCCCATAAGATTATAATGGCTATACCATTATAATCTTACTATTTTGTATTCCTTTTTCTTCATTTTATAAGTGGCAAGGTACAATAGTCTACATTTCTCCCTCAGGAAAACAAGTTGTTTTTCATCTCAATTAAGGCGTTTATCTTTCTTTGGACCCTTTATTAAGAAATTTTCCCCACCCTCATTCTACAACTTCTAAAATCAATCATTGTTAATCTGTGGACAGTGGAACAGAAGGTCCATAGAAGCACATACATAATTTTGTTTTAGTAAGCCTTTTCCTAGGCGCTCATCATATTTTTTAAAAGATCCATGAAGCAAAAAGAACTACTGAGCTAAAGAAAACTGTACAGTAGCATACGCTATGGGAAATGAAAGTCAAAATAAGTACTCTAATGATTCACATTTCCGCAGCACCTCAACTATGTTTTGTTTATTTAGCCAGAAAACATACTCATGTTATAAAGAATGTCCCAAATGATAAGAATCTAAAAGGATCTCCTTTAGCTATTTAAAAATGCAATCAACTGCAACAACCCAATCCTAGGATACCTAGTTAAATTGTATTTTGCCATACATATAATTGCGGGTTAACAAGTCAATGAAAATGATAAATGGCTTATAATCTCTTCTTCAGTCTTTGAAAACTGTTTTTCCTACCTCAATAAGATAAAGAATTGTTCATGTATTCACTCATTCTATCAACAAGTATTTATTGAATGCCACTATGTACCAGGCACTGCATTTGGCCCTATCAGCTACTGTGATTAATTCTTGGTTCTTCTCTAAATTGTTGTCTCAATCTACAAATAAAAGTTAGAGCATATCATCATATTTGCATGCCTAGCAACTAGCATAATGCCTAAATCTTAGTGGGAATTTAATGTGTACAGAGCTGTGTAATGAGAAAACACATTAAGAAAAACCTCTCTGGCCAATTTTTTTTAGTCAACTCAGTCACTAAAGTCAGAATGAAATTAAAATCTGTCACCGACACCAAAAAATAGAAGCAAAAACTTCTAAACATAGGTCCTTCTGATAACGTTTTTCTTGGACATACAAAGACAAGGAATCTCTTAGTACTACAAAAAGGACCCTAAACAATGTCAGGAATGGATAAGATTCGAAGGCCTTTCAATAGGTGCCATAAATATAGATGGAAAACTTCACTGATTCGCAAGCAAACTATTTTCCCTACACTCATCTTGACATTAGCTTCCAGGCCCCATTGTGCCAAAAGCAACATCAAGAAATAACAGAAATGAGGAACAAAAGGAGCAAAGGGGGAAAATACGTGTTGAGATAAACATTTCAGCTCAGGCTGAGTGGAATGCTCTAACTAAAAGTTACCGCAAATGACCAAAACAACCTATGAGTCTAAAAAGTTGGTTATGCAAGTCTGGCTGTTATAGTTCACCGTGTATCAAGGGCATTGTTTCCTACTTGAAAAAGTCCCAAACAAACATCCTGCCTGCAGCCTTCTCCGGGTTCCGCTAACCTTAGTTATTTCTGTGACTCTGGGTTTAAAAAACAAAAAACAAAAAAAGACAAACATCAAGTATTTAGGAGGGGCCTAGAGAGAACTTTTCACCCCTAACCGCAGCCCAAGATCCTCCCACGGGAACGCCGATGGACCGCAGCTCAGCCCCAGCGGCGGAAGGGAGGCCGGCCACGCCCGGATGCACGGCGGCTGGGGTCCAGGCCGGCAGGTCCGCGGGCCACTCGCTCTGCTGGAGCAGCCCCGGCGCGGGGGCGGAGCGCAGAGACAGGGTGGGCCGGGCCTCACCTCCACGGCCTGGCCCAGCTCCAGGTCGAAGCCCACCACACACACGCAGTGAAGCCAGGCCGAGAAGCCGTCCCAGCGCAGCAGGCCCCGGCCGCGGCCATCGTCCTCTTCATCATCCTCCGCCAAGGATCCCGCCGCCACAAGTGCTGGGGCCTCACGCCCCTCGGTCACCGCCACAGCCTCGTCCAATGACCCTCGGGAGCCGGGTCCCAATGCCGCCGGGCCCCGCAGAGCCATCCGCCACTCCTTTGCTGTTCGCGCCGCCTCCACCGCAGACCGCGCAGCACTGTGCGCTCGTCTCGGCGCAGGCGCAGCCGCCGCTGCTGCAGCCTCCGGGGACCTCTTGGTCGGGGCGGGGCCGCGGGCCACGTGACCCTGGGAGCCAGACTGCGCGGGTCCTTCCGGAGCACGGCGGCGGCGCGGGGACGTCACGCTGCCTCTTGTCTAGAACTGTGGAGCCGGTACGAGCTTTGTCTTACAGCTGTTTAGGATTGAAACGGTGGTTTACGAATCCTTGTCACCCGTGTTCTCAGTCCAGTGATCAGTGAATGAATTATTCTTGGAATGACACCGTTCGTAATTATTAAAATAAGGTGTTAAATTATTAACAGAATGGTGACAGTGGCTAGCATTTATTGAATACTGTGCCAGTTGATATGCTACGTACAAGTACAAATATTTACAAATATGACTTTATTGAATCCTCATATCGCAAGTAGGTAGACATTATTTATTTTTACAGATAAGGAAATTGAAGTTCTGAGAGGTTAGTGACTAGCTGAACAAGTATGATAACTCCTATGCAGGCTTACACTTCACTCATGCAGTCCGCTGATTCAGATATCTGTGCCTTCACTCAGCTGTTCCCTCTCCACCAAGGCCCCTCCCACCTTTCTTGGCCTGTCTGTGTTCACTCAACACACACATCTCCAGACCTTTCCGAAACCCCAGGCTCGGCAAGGCGGCCTCCCAGCAATCTGTGAATAAGCTCTCTGAGCAATGGGGCAAGCATCTGGTTTCATGCAGCCTTGTATTCTCAGAGGTCAACACTGGCCTGGACACCCAGAATGTACTTGTTATGTTGAATTGTTACTGATCATCGGTGCAGCAAGATACTACTGACTAGGATTCATTCAGCACCTGCTATGCTGAATATAAACAGCACAATGAAAGTAGGAAACACATAGTACCTCAATAGAAAAATGGGTAAAAGTTGATAATAAATAATTCACAATAAATGTATTCTTAAAAACATAATGTTCATGCTTTTACAATCATTATCGTATCTAATCCTTCCAACAGCCCCAAAAGACAGGTCCTGTTATTATTCCCTTTTTACAGATAAGGAAACAGGCTCCATGAGATGAAGATGTCACAGCTAGTAGATAGCAAAACAGAGATTTACACCCAGGTCTTTCTGAGCCTGAGCTCAAAAGCACTTTGCTGTACTGCCCAGCCAAATCCACTCCATTTGACAAACACTGTCCTCTCCGCATCCTTAAAGTTTCTGTTTGTAGTGAATGTTAGCGACCCTGTTTTCAAGAAGATGGTCAAGTATCCACAGACATCAGTAGTGATGTTTGCTAGAGACTTTCTTTAGAACAAAAGATGAATTACGGACAACACTTAAGTTAGAGGCCAAGTCTTTGGCCAAAGCAACCTGCTATCCTACTCCAGAGAACCACTGTAATTAAGAGAAAAAAACCATATTCTTCATTCAAGTAAGTCTCTAATTCACTATTAGGAAAAAACAGTAGCCTTTTGTATTAGAAAAAGAACTAGTCTGGAAGTCAAAAGGCCTGGATTCTAGCACCAGCTCCACCCATGATCATGGTAGACAAGCTGCTCCAAGACGCAGTTTCTGCATTGGTAAATGGGAATGATCACTACTAACTCACTATCCTGACTGTTGTGAAGAGCCAGGCTATCCTAATACACACATATTACTGGATGCTACTTCATTGTTAATGATTCATAAGCTCTAAACACCAATTGTTCAACAGAGTTTTTTGACACATGGATACAAACTACCATTTTCTTAAGTGTTGCTTTATAATATTGGGTTGAAGGGTAACCTTATCAAAATTTAGTACCATAAAAACAACATACAAGAGGGCCAGAAGTTTTATGAGAAAGAAAGCACACCAAGGCTCTAGAGAATTTTAAAAATGAAAAAAAAAAAAAAAAAAAAATTCAGTTTGTTTTGGAAACACACACACACCCACACCCACACCCACACACTGCTAAAAACTTTATACACAGAATTCACCAGGGAAAACAAAGTAGCTATGGCTTTTCTTCCCTGCACCCTAATAACTTTGATATTCTGCCTTAGAGGCTATTTTAACACAGTTTCTGTGGTTAATACTTGTATGGGATCTGAGTGGGGGAAAGTACTGACAACTTCTTCCTTTTTAAGGTTCATTCTTAGAACCTTTGAATCTGAAAGGATCTTGGATCAGGTCATCACTCCAAATTTCCCATCCTTTTCATGAATCTTATGTTCGGTCAGCCAGCTTCTTTCCTAACACTCTCTCAAAGTTAATCACTACCTTTCAGAGCTGCTATTTTCTGGATGTTCGTGAAGGCTAGAAAATTCTTCCTTTTACAGAGACAAGATCAGCCACTTTGTAAAGTACACCCATTAGTCTAAGTTGTGCTTGCTGAGATTATGCAGACGAGTCCCACTCTTCTACATGGTAGCCCTGCAAATGTTTGAAAATAGTCATCCCACATCCCCACATCTTCTAGCTTCCGGGGTAAACTACCCCAGATCCTCTAACTGTTCCTCAAAGGCTGTAGTTTCTAGGCCATTCATCACCTTGCTGCCCAACTTGGGTATACTCCAACTTGTCAACATCACTCTTAAAATGTGGGAGGAAACACCATCCTCCAGGTGTGACCTGACCACTGCAGAGTGTACCCTGGAACTATTACTTTCCTTGTCCCGGCTACCAGCCTTCTATTAATGCCAGTTCCGATCATATTTGCTTGTGTTGGCAGCCAGGTCACATCACTGGCTCAAGTTGCATTTACTGTCAACAAAAGCCCTAGATCTTTTTTCATGTGAGGAGCACTTAAGTCAGGGTAGGCTGCATTAGCCAAGAGCATGACTGGATTCATGGCTCTGCTGCTCTTCTAATATTACCAACAACAGTGAACACAGGATTAAAAACATTCCAAACTTCCCTACTCATCCCTAACCAAACTCTTGGCATTTCAGCAATTTTTATAGTTAAAGAAAAAAAGAAAGGAAGAAAAGAAAAAAGAAAGGCTGAGCATTAGACAATAATGTGAATTGCAATGTCAGGTCTCTGGGCTTAGTTTTACCAAAAAAAACCCGCAGTGAGTCCAAATGCCCTAGATATTTGCCTAGTTGGGCAGTAAGGGGACTTCCCTCTTGCACTTGAGGTAAATGCCAGGACTGCTGGGGCATACCTACACTTGTGGAGGCAAGAAAATACATTGAGAAATACATAGAGGCCCAAGTACCAATGTGTTATCAGTAGAGATCTGAGTTTACTGCCATACATCTTTGAAAGACAAAATGCTCAAATGCAGATTTTGAAGGATTCAGCTAAAGAAGACTATAAAGTGCACTAACAGGTGCTTCCTAAACAGTATTTGTAAAAGCTTTTTTTTTAAAAAAAATGGTAAAGAGCTTTGTTTTTTTCAGCTTTTCATTCCTAATGTCCTTGTCAGGCACTCAGCAAATATTTACTGAGTGAATGAATGCATTTAAAAAAATGAAAAAAAATGGTAAAGAGCTTTGTTTTTTTCAGCTTTTCATTCGTAATGTCCTTGTCAGGCACTCAGCAAATATTTACTGAGTGAATGAATGCATTTAAAAAAATGAAGCATCTCTAACTGCTGTTTCTCTTATTTTACAGAATTTTCCTTCCATGGTCAGTTGGGTGAGCACATGAAAAGTTAATATTAAAATGTTTCTTAAATATAATTCACTCTTAGCTTATGAAAAGTAAAGATAGTAACACTTCATTTATTTGAAGATTACTTTTCCATCTGTCTGATGCAGTTAGTACCAAGAGGTAGGTTTACTAGACCTAATGGCAGTCAAAATGCAAAACCAAAAATGTAACCAGTACAGTTCATGCTCTGTAATGAGAGAGATGTGAGCCCTTCACTCATAAATTGTTTTGTATAAATTTACACACAATTCCAACAGATTTATTTGTCTGGTTTCTAAGACTAAGCAACAAATAAGAGTAGTGAAGAAACTGCTTGAGTCTGAGGATGACAGGAGCAGAAAACAAAAGGCTATATGTTAACAGAATAGAAGGAAAAGAAAAAAAGGATTCAGGAAACAAATACAGAAGGATACGCAGAAATACTATTAACAGTGGTTGCCTCATGGGAAATAGAAGTGTTGGAAAATAGAAGGGCCGGCCTGGTGGCGCACTGCTACAGTGCGCCGTTTGGGAGCGCGGCAGTTTTTATTTTCTACACTTCTATATTTTTTGAGTTATTTAGAGAGGGCATGTGTTGCTTTTATAATTAAAACATTAATTATAAAATAATTTATAACAAGATAACAAGAGTGTAACAGTTGCTTATGATAGTAAAAAATCAAAAACCACCTAACAATGGGTAATAGATTGAAAAATATATCTATTCGATAGACTCTTGTTCAGCACTAAATACGTCATAGTCTAATATTTTGTGACAGAAAATTTTTCAAAGTATATATTTACAGTAGAAAAAGGGAGGTTACAAAACAAAACATAATGAAGTCCTATTTTTAGACTATATGCAAAAAAAAAAAAAGACTTTGGAGTAGATAAAACATGTCCAGGGCCGGCCCGTGGCTCACTTGGTAGAGTGTGGTGCTGATAACACCAAGGCCCCGGGTTCGGATCCCACATAGGGATGGCCAGTTAGCTCACTTGGGAGAGTGTGGTGCTGACAACACCAGACTTTGGAGTAGATAAAACATGTCCAGACATCCTGACATATAAGGAAATTTTTTCTAGGAATTAAACAATATTTTTATTTCATCTGTGTAACATCCACACAACTCAAACTTATTTTTATAACAAGAAAAGAGCTATAACAGAAGGGAAATAAATTAAACTTAAATGTTTTCACTAATATCTTTGTGGCAGAAACTGCTAGGCCACTATAATAATTAATTTTATGTGTCATCTTGACTGAGTCATGAGGTACCCAGATGCTTGGTTAAACATTATTCTCCGGTATGTCTGTGAGGATGTTCTTGAATG